ATGAATATGCCTGTTGATTAATTCAATTCTTTGTATACTTTGTGTATTTAAACTATTATATATGCTATCTTATTAAAGATAATGCTACAACTAATTGCATTTATGTGATGATTATTTGTTATCAGTTGTAACTAGTTATAATTTAATCATTAATATTACAACTAGTTACAAATTTGTGATGCTTATTTATCACCAGTTGCAACTAGTTGCAGCACTATTTTTATACTTTATTAATGTAAAGTATTTTGTTAAGTATTTTGCTATTATTAAATATTGGTTAATTAATTACTTTTATTAATATTTAAATAATTCTTCATAAAGAGAATTCTAATATATATAAAATATATGAAGAAATTTTTAAACTGATTTTCTAATTCCTTTAAGCTTTTTTTAAAGGTTCAAATCAATGTAAAAAATGCATAATAAGTGCTAAGTATTTGGATAGATCTTCTTAAATAATCAAATTATAGAAGGTTTTGAATTGGTAAAAATGATTCTAAGAAAAATACATATTTTGATATGTATAGTTTTAAATATCTATAAGTAAATATCAGGTTTCATCTTTAATGATAGCACATACTATAATACTGATTTTATAGTTATTATCAACTGATTATAATGCAAAGCATCATTTAGAATTAGTTAGTATTATAAGTAATATCAATTATTATAATATTATTGAATCTGTAATATAATTCTTTTTGTATAGAAGATATTTATAAAAGTAAGTTTAATTTCTTTTAGACCAATTATAATCAAAGTTTTCTGATTTAAAATGATTCTGAATCCTTTTATTTTAATAATATCTGAAGCATTTTAAAAATATACATATCTTTTAAATTATTTTTCTAACAAAATTTATAAACTGCATTATACAAATCTATTATAAATGGCTGATATAGGTAATGATATCTAAGCAAAAGATAGATAGATATCAAGTTTTTTTTTATATTAATTAATATAAATGAATGATTATAAATATTATTAAATAAATTAATTCTTACGATACTACTTGTTTTTAGATAAGTGATATTTAGTTTTAAGAATATTGAATTCATTGAAAATAAGCATTATGATACTAGTTAGATCTAATATAACCTATAAGATATATGAATTGAATTTAATATATTCATAAATAGTCCTTTGTACTATACCTTCAAATTTTTTGCTTGTATTAATCCTTTAATTAAAACACTTTTTTAATATAAAATTATTAATCTAATTATTGAATTCTTTTAAGGTAGTAAAGGTAAATTCAGAGATCAATTTCAATAATTCAGATAGATCATTTGATTTACCTGATTCTTTACTATATAAAACAATATTAATTGTTGATAAATTTGATTTAGAAACTTGAGAAACACAAATTCAGATCATATTATTATAAAAAAAAGTATCCTTATTAATTAAACTAAAATTATGTAAAACTGTAAAAGTAAATTATTTTGATTAAAAAGTTATTAATAAGAAAAATTTTAATTATATGATAAATATAATAATGCACAATACAAATTAAAATAAATGATACAAAAAAGCAAAATAATTAAGTGAACTATCAGAGAAGATAAAGCAATAGCATTTGAATTATTATAAAAGTTTTTATATAATTAATATCAGATATATTATTATAGTATCATCAGATGCAAAGTTTTAATGAAAATGCAAGAAAGAAAGAAGCAAAAATTAAAATTAATCAAAGATTTAATTTATTGATTTTGTAATAATAATGACAATATAAACACATGATTATAATAAGATAAACTTAATAAATAAATATATTATATATTATTATCATGTGATAAATTAATATATAACTTGCATAACTTTACATAAATTTTTAAAAATAATATATTTGTATAATATATTTTAATATATTTAATAAGAAGTTATATTTTTCTTTTTGAAAATTCATATAATGTGTATAATAAAATGTGATACAGGTATATACATTCTGTTTATAACTAGCTTTTTCAATAATTAATTTAAATAAATTAAATTAATTATAAAATAAAATAAATCAAAAAATGTAGAATAAATAAATTATATTCTATAAAAAATTTATATACAAAAATAATACATTTTTTATATTCATAAAAAAGCATAATATATATTTAATTATTATATATAAAAAAATTAGAATTATTAATATATAAAAATATGTAAATTAAGTATTATTATATAAGTTAATTGCGAAGTTTACTGACTGAAAAATAAACTTTAACATATATAGCAATGTTTTAGGTATCTAAAGGATAATAATTTATGTTAACAATTTTAAAATCTTATTAGTATTAATAAAATTATTAATGTAAATCACTACAATCAATATATATATTTATATGAGAGAGCTATAATAATAGATTGAGTTTTATATTATGAGTTTAACTAATTAAAGTTTTAAGGTAAAAGGTTTGGTTTTATTAATTAGAGAAATTAGAATCAATACCATTCAATAATTTAAATAAGCTCTTATTCGTAAACTTACAAAATTAAAGAATAAACTATATTAAAACTGTATTAAAAAAACTATTTAATAATTAATATCAAGACTATCTAGCTTGATTTCACTAAAAACTAACTAACTACTGTAAAACTGACTAAGAATTGATTAGAAATTAACTGAAAATCAACTGATGAGAATATATGAAATTCCTATCCTATTTATATAAAACTTTGGATCTAATTCTATTACTAAATTAAGATAAAGTACAACTTAATAAACTATAGAAACATTGTAAATATTGTTGACTTAATTAATAAGTTTAACTAAGTAAATTATATTAACTATATAAACATATTTAATTTCATTTTTTTTTTTTTTTTTTTTTTTTTTTGACTTTTAATGATGTGATACTGCCACAAGTTTATTAATTAGATTTATTATTTATATGCATTAATCTATGTAAAACAAAGTAAAAAATACAAATAAGAAATCTAGACTAAATTGCAGCTATCCTCTGTGACTTTATTTCAAGCTTGTTTAAGCTAACCAATTACTGACTTTCCCTTTCAAGAAGTTCACTAAAACTATTTTTAATGAACAAATGTATTATTAATATATTGTCTTATTATATTTTTAACATATTCTCAATATATAATAAAAATATCATAATTATACCATCTTATAATATTTTAAACATATTTCTAATATAATAATAATATATAATAAAGTAGTTCTAAAGCAATAATTACCATATGCCTAATATATTGTTATCATTAAGTTATGAGAGGTTTATTAGCAATGGATCTATAATACATTTGATATATTTTAAAAATATTTCTAACATATTTTTTGAATTGATAGATTTTTGTAAAGAGCTATATACAATAAACTATTATAATATTCATTTCTTTCTTATATTGTTATATAAGAGAAAACATTTTTATTATTAAAAGTATGTAAAATAATTGAGGTACTTACAATATACAAATTTTCTTTAAAGAAATGACATGCATTTTTTTTAAAATATATATATATATATTAATTGTAAATCTATTTATTAGGAATAATATTATATTCAAAAAATTAAATAAAAGGCAGATTGCAAAAATGATGAAGTTTTCTCCTAGCTACTCTATTTCTATGCAATTAAAATTATATAAGGTTTAGATATTTTCTGTTATCAACAAAATGAGAATATAAGTCAATTTAATTTAAAAGTATTTAGTGAAATAATTGTAGTTCCAGCTAGAATATTACCTGCTCTAAAAATATAATATCATCTTTCTTCTCATAATGCTGCTATTGTATTAAGCAATAGGACATGGAATTTGCATGATAAATTAGTTGCTACAGGGGTCATACATTGTGTTACTTTTAGAGATTTCTCAATTTAAGCTATATAAAATTTTATCAAAGAATTGGTCAAAACACAACATAGCGGAAATGCTTAATTTATTACATTTTGCCAATTTATTTGTTAATCATTTATTCATCTTTATCACAATAAAAATGCTCTGATCAGAAATCCTACATAATAATATATGTTAAATTTTTACAAGTAGCTGCATTTTAATATAATGAAATAGTATATTAAATTTTATTGAAATATAATTACTATTGTTAAGTTATACTAGAAGCAACATTTTGCTAAAAGTTGTCTCAAAGCTGACTTTTGTGTTGTTTAAGTAATACGGTACTTTTATATTATATTCTATAAATCCTAAACTAGGAAATTTAATGATTGGCACAGTTCGCCCATGCATATGTGGCTCTACTCAAATCTTTGAAGCTAAATAATTAAAATTTTAATAACATATATTAATATATGAAATATTCAAAAAGTTGTTTCAAAGCTAACCTTTATGTTTTTTAAAATTTATTGTAATACTTTTATATTATTTTCTACATAAATTAAAATATGAAATATAATGGTCAGCATAGTTCACTCTTGCATATGTGACTTTGCCCAAACTTTTGAAGTTTAAAATAATTAATTTACTGTATTATGTAAATTAATTAATTATTTATTTCAGCCCTAAGCTAATTGATGTAAAATATTTAATCTTGATTTATTGTTTTAGAAATATATTATACATATTCCAAAATATTGAATTTTTTAATTTGTAATGTTCGCCAGATCGATCATATGCTGTTTCGCCCGAAGCTTTGAATTTTTGATCGGCTGATATTATATAATGTGATAATTCATTTATACTGTAAAATGATCGACATGGTGATTTAAGCATGTCCGCTGTGCTTGTCAGAACACTGGAATGGATATCCCGAATAAGAGTCCACCTATTATGCTAGGCAATCCTCAAGGAAATATCGAACAGGCCTTGAATCAAGCCTGGATTTAAGCTGGCAATGTGGCTAAATCACAGCCTCAATTAATTTTATGCATCCTTCTAAACATCGGTGTACCATTATATGCTGAAATCAAACAAAGTCATTGGTTTAGCTTCTCTATGCAGGCTTACTTTTAAAGCAAAACGGCATTATTGCGCTAATATATTGGTGGTATGAATTATTCATTGAACCAAGTCATATAAAATTCATGTCGCAACGCCCAACTACCATAATGGGTGCAAGCGTTAAACATTCTGTTCCTGATGAGTCTTATCCATCCATCGCTGTTCTTTGCGCTTCAATGAATGCAAAAGCATATCGCTACTACTTTTCTATTCGTATTCAAGCAAGTAGACAAGCAATTATCTCTGACTTGGCAGGTATCTTTGGAAACCTTGTACAGACGTGTAAAAATAAAACCAGTTCGTAATTTTGTTCTATCGAGATGGTGTCTCAGATTATGAAATTGAAATAGTAAGAAGTATGTGCATATTTTTCTAAAGTAATTTGTAAAATTGAAATTTTCTACACACACAAATTTATTTACCTTTTCGTGAAAAAAGGTACATGTAAATCAATTTATGCGAATTACGAACCAACCATAACCTTTGTAGTTGCATAGAAACGTCATCACGTTCGCTTTTTTTCCAACGGATTGAATAGATTCCGAGAGTGCAGGAAAAGTCATGTTGGTACAGTTGTTGAATCAACAATAACGCATCCTTTCGAATTTGACTTTTATCTCCAGAGTCATGCTAGTTTACAAAGAAGTTCGCGTTCAACACATTTGTATTGTGTGATGAAAATCGATTCAATCCCGATTCACTTCAAACATTAATTTATAACTTGTATTATTCATTTGCGCGATGTACACGAGCGGTTTCTATTGTCCATCAGTGTAGTATGCTCGTTTAGTTTACTCTAGGTCCAGGCTTCATGAACAATGGAACGATCTAAGTGATGGTTTTATAAGAAGATTTAGTGTGGTGTAACTCGAGTTGCAAAACATGTACTTTATATAGATGTTGTAGATATATTATATGTAAAACTAGAATTTTTGAGACAATTATGGAATTTATTTTTGTACAAGTTGTTGACTCAATCTTTTTTTAAAAAAACCCTTCAAAATTTCGAGAATTACACAAAAATGCATTTTTAACGTTAAGTATAATTGAGTGAATTTTGTTTCTCAATCTATCAACGATTTCATATATTCTAATGTAAGATATTCCATTCAAAGTATAAGCGTATAACATCCTTTTTCGATTTAATATATTCCACTTGAAATGTTGAAAAACGTGAACACCATCGTAAGATAGAAGAGGTTTCTGTACCTCATATATAATTAACTTTAAGTCTTGATCTATTGTTGATGTTTTATCGAGCATACTGCATCGTAATATAACAAACGCTTAGTAACGAGTTGTACTGACATAAATCTTCAAATAGTAAATTCTCGATAAAATTTAATTACTACTGAAACGGGATTAGCAATCGTCGATGGCTTTAAGTAAATAGTACAGTGGCTTCCAAAAATAATGCACCACCATTATTGTTAATCATTAGTTTCATATATTAGCATCAAATTAAATCTAATTAAAATAATTTATCATATAATATAATAGAACATTATAAATTTTGAATGAATTAATTAACATGCTTTTTCAATTACGTGACATTTAATCAAAAATTGCTGGTGCGTTATTTTTGTCAATTATTAGTTGCCGATCCTTATACGATACCTTCTACAGTATATAATATGGCGTATCGTAAAAATTATTTTTGCCAGTGATCACATACAACACAGATCAGGTGACAAACGTTCAAATTGAAGTTTAGTCAAAAATGGATTTCACTAACA